CTCCAGGACTTGGCTCATTTGTACTAAGTGGGTCTTGCTGTTAGGTTATAAACCTAAGATTGATTAAGGTTCTTTCCCTGAGTAGCCTTTGGTTAGGATTTTACTCAGTGTCTGCTATGGTTCTAACTGTGGAACAGGCATTTATTTCTGCATCTCGGAGCCTCTGGTGGAAAAACCTGAGGGTTTTTGGAAGTGAATACCTAAGATACTTTTGTGCTCCTCTGTGAATGACTGGGTCACATTGGATTAATCAAATGTTATCGCAGTGAGACTGGCCCATTGCCTCACAAAGGTGATGAGTGAGCAGTAAGTTCACAGCGGAGTAAGGCTCCTGTGGATTATTGGCTTGTCTTCCTGTATCAAGGAGATAGTGCCCCAGAACTGCAGGGCGAGGCGGTATCATTACTGCTATCTAGCTTCAGCCAGACAAAATTATAAAGAGCATTTCTTAATTTCTGCTATCCTGTCAATTTTATGTTTCTTTGTTAGCCTGAAAGTCTTTTGGATTCAAGCCTGAGCAGTGTGTGTGCATGTGTGTATGCTCACAAGTCCTGGGATTGTGTCCACGTGCAGTAGTGAGTGCCCCAGATCTAGGTGGATTCACTGTGTTTGAACAGAGTCTAGGATAATGCTATTTAGGGTGATCACAGGTAGCAAGAATGTGGCAAATTCCAAAACAAACAAGCAAAGAGTATGAAAGCTGGAGGACACTTGGACATGCAATAAAGTGGACAAAGCCAGAAAACAGCAGGTTACTACCTAACCCACACTGACAGCAACCTTCACACAGGACGAATTTAGACAAAACCAAATCATTAGGCTCCTTAGTCTGTAAATTTTCCTAAAGTTGTTGGTTAATAGCAAAAGATAACATTGAAGATGTTCAGCATCCTTTTACTCTAGGTCTCTTACTTTATCCCTTACAGGAATAAAGGGACAAAGATACTATTTCACTTTGCAAGGTTGTTTCAAGATCCTAGATGAGAGAATATTTGTTCTATTTTAAAAAATAACTCCAGACACAGAAATTCAGTATCTCTCTTAGTGACACTAATTTATTCCTCGATCTAGAAATTCTTGTATCTGATTGGATTTCTTTCTTCATCAGTTTATCTTTTAACTTATTTTTTATTGGATATAATATACATATAGTAAAAGGCATAAACTTGTGTGCAACTTAATAAATTTTTACAAGTCTACCTACACATGAACATCTTAGAAACCTCTCTCTCGCACCCTCCCAGTCAATACCCAACTCTCAAGGGTAAGTGTCATACTGACTTCTTTCAACATAAATTACTGTTTGAACTTTATATGAATAAAATCATTCAATTCTGTTTTGTATCTGGCTTTTACGCACCATTGTATTTTTTACATTCCCTACCTTGTTAGGTATGATAGTTTTTTTTTTTTTATAGTTATAGTGTCCTGTTGTATGAATAGCAAGCACATATGTATCCATCCTACTGTTGACAGAGTTTGATTTATTTTCATTTGAGGCCATTATAAGTGAAGTTACTATGACAGTGGTTGTCGTATCTTTAGGTGAACAAATGTCATTTCTGTTGGTTATATACCTACGAGTAGAATAGCTAGTTCAGAAGATATGAGATACTCAGCTTTAGCAGATACTATCAAGGAGTTTTTCAAAAGCTTGGAACAATTTACACTCCCTCCAGTAACAGCTGAGTGGTACAGTGACTGCACATCCTCACCAGCACTTGGTGTTTTCGGTTTTAAAAGTTTTAGCCATTCTATTGAGCGTGTAAAGGCATCTTATTGTTGTTTTATTTTGCATTTCCCTGATGGCTAATGATGTTAAGCACCTCCTTTTTTGAGTGTTTATGACACTTTTTTTGTGAAGTGCCTGTTCAAATCTTTGCCCAGTTTTTCACTGCTTGTCTGCTTTTTTCTTATTGATTTATAGGGGTTATTCTGGCTAAGTCCTTTTATCTATTGTGTATAACTTCTCCCACTTTGCAGCGTATGCTTTAACTTTTTTAAGGTTGACTTTTAATGAGAGGTTTTTAAATTTTAATGAAGTCAGATTTATCTTTTCTTTCATGTCCTATTTAAGAAATTTTTGCTTAGTAAAGGTCTTGAAGAAGACATTTTCCTGTTTTCTTCTAGAGACTTTGTTTTACCTTTGACATGTATGTGTGATCCATCTGGAATAGAATGTTTATATGATGGTGGGCGAGTGGGTAAAGGTCCTCACTCCACCCAATACCATATATTGAACGGGCCATTCTTTCCTACTGTACTGCATGAGCACCCTTGTCGTAAATCAATGACTATATAGCCCAGTGTGTCTATGGATAATCCATTCTGTTTCGATTTCAAAGTTTCTGGGATCAGTTTTTATTACTGTAAGTTTATAATAAGTGTTGATATTCCATTTTCTAACTTTGCCCTTTATATTGACTTTTTTCATTTCTCATAAATTTTAGAATCAGCTTATCAATTTCTATATGCACATTCAAACCTCTCGGGATTTTACTTGAGACCACTTTAAATCTGTAGAACAATTTAGGAGAATTAACATCTTTCCCTCTCAATGTTGTCTGATTTCTTCATGTTCTACCTTTAGAGGCTGGAGAGGTATGGATGAAATCTAGGGCAATGGCATGAGACATGGTTTCCCACCATCGCTCTGAGTTCCAGATAAGAGTTGGGTTGTATATCTTCCCTCTGCTCCTCTGCATGGTTTTTATACCATCTCTGCTCTGCTCTGGGCCAGAGACAATGACCAGTTTGGACAAATACATTGGGCTCCCTTGCCTCTGGCTTCCAGTTCTCTTTGACTAGTGGGGAAGGAACATGAGCAGGCGATCAGAAGGGGAGAAGAGAGTGAGGTCAGGGTATTAATTTCTTGACTCTTTCCCTGCAGGGTCACTTTGGGTTGGCTGCATCCCTAGACTAAAGGCTGTTACTGGTCCCAATGGGCAGCCTGCTTCTCTTAGCTCCCTCCCTCTGGGCCTCCTTCAGCCTAAGGGTGATAATGGCTCCCCCATCACTAATGTGGGGTATGCATCGTCTCTCGTTATTTCCCAACACTCTCCCATACCTTTGCTAAACTCCTCCCAAGTGATGCATTTGGAGTGGGCCATCTGATTCTTGCCAGGACCCTGATTCCTACAGAAGTGGAAGAAAAATAATTTCCTGGACAGCTTAAAAGAACGTTGAAAATGAAGACCAGTGCCCCAGTGATAACCCTGCTGTGTCTGCTCACAGAAATGCGCTTCCGGCTAAGCCTGCCTGAGTGTGGCAGAGAGGCTCTCCTTCTCTATTTCTAGTATCATTAGAAACCGCCAAGAGACTCTTTGTGATTTAAAAAGTAAGATTAGTAAAAGCCTCAGAGTGTACCCTTAAATGTCCACAAGCATTTTCAGCCACAGGTTATTTTTCACTGTCTGACTCACTAAGTCGATAATGGTTGAGGTGTTTGTGCTTGTGTCCGAGGAACGTCCACGATACCACCTGGGGATGTTAGAGAGCCAGCTGAGTGCCAACCGGGCGTAGAATTGAGAGTAGTAATAAAACTGCTGCTGTTTGAAAAAATCAATTGAATCACCACCGGAGACCGTAGCCTCAAGCTACAGTGAAGGAAGGAGAATTATACTAATTCTTAAGTGGAGTCTTCCATTGAAATTGCTTAAACTCCTCTTTTGACAGTCGGGTTATTTAGTTGTCTGTTTTAGGAATTAATTTTTGGAATGACATCGCCAGCGCTGGTGAGGACTGCTGAATTACTCTCACTGAAGTAGAAATCCTGTCCAAAGTGTCATTTGATGACAACAGTAATTAACCTGAATCACACATCAGCGAGTGCTAGCAAATATGACAGTACAAGAGCCAGTGGGAGTTTAAAATGAAAAAGTCGATAGCAAATAAAACAGGATATCACACACTTTTAAATGAAGCTTTTACCTTCTTAAAAAGTGAACAATAAGTGGAATTCTGCTGCGGTCAATTTACTTTTTGTTAGACATGTCTGCTTATGTGTTCATTTCTGCACGTAGCTAGTGGTCATGTTTTTCGTTTTTAGTGTAAGCTGGAGCTGCCAGGGCCTTTGCTCTCGCCTGTTGCTCCCTTGAGTTACTGTCTAAACATCCACTTTGGCATCATCTCCACCCCCCACCCCAGCCATATGCCCAAGGAGGTCACTCCTTCTCTATACCGGACCTGGCAAATTGATGGCTTTTACACGTTTGTTTGTCTCACACATTATTTTGAAAAATTGTTATAAACTGAGAGACACAAATACAAATCTCGATTTCTGACTTTTCTTGAAAAGTGGGATGACCTGAGAACAGTGGCCCTCTATCCCTCCATAGCAAAAATTGGTTGTGATGGGGGCATGTAGCCAGCAGGGAGCCAGGGCGTCACCTGGCCAGCCTTACTCAGCTGAGTGCCCGCCTGGCCTGGGAGGCACATGTAGACATGTGTTCAGCCATCAGGGGTGACTCCAGGTAGAGTAAGAGGAACAGTCGATGGTATATTTCAGTCTGTGTGTTATTGGGAGGAGAAACTACAAGCTCTGTGAGACAGAGACCTTGTCCCATTTGTCTTGGTATATGCCATGTTTCATAGAAGTTAATTGAATGGAAAGGAAACTCTGCTTAGGAAGAGGAATCTGGCAGTGGTATGAAGGTGTTCAAGGGAGAATATTGACTATTTTAAAAAGGCTCTAACAGTAAGTCAGGGCTGAGAACACAGATCAACACGGAGACAGGGAACAGAGAAAGAGGTGACCCTGAGAGACGACTGGAATGAGCAGACCTTGGATTTAGAGACTGACAGGAGGTAAAGGAGAAAGGAAAAGGGTTTGGAGCCCGAGGAGCAAGCGGCGCCATTAATACAGCTAAGAGGGTGGCAGGTGAAAGTCACGGGCCCCTCCTGGCCCCCCAAGTCCCAGTCACTGGGTGTGAAAGGGTTACATGACTTAGCCAATGCCGATAGCTCTGCTTAGAGTCTTTCCCTTATGTTTTTAACCCCAGGGCGAAGACCATCAAGAACACAGTCTCGGTGAACCTGGAGCTGACAGCGGAAGAATGGAAGAAGAAGTACGAAAAAGAGAAGGAGAAGAACAAGACTTTGAAGAACGTTATCCAGCATCTGGAGATGGAGCTGAACAGGTGGAGAAATGGTGAGGAGGGCTGGAGAGGAAGACCCAGGCACGAGTGTGCACCCCCCCCCACACTTGGGAAAGGGCGATGATGATGATGATGATGGTGATGATGATGATGGGGGGCGCGGTCCTGCCTCGCAGCAGCCCTCCACTAGCAGACGCTGTCTGGGTCCCCAGGGCAGCGCCCCGCCCCACCCTGTCACTTGGCCGACGTGCATGCTTAGTGCGGGCAGGGGACCGTTTGCGAGGCCAGAGGCCCCTCTGCCTGTCACTGTGACTCCCTCCCTGGAAGCCACCCCCGGGCGGGAGGCGGCGCCTGGGGCCCAGGCTCAGGTTGCTTTCCTGAATGAAACCCGCGCTCTCTCCCGCGCGGGCCTTACAGTGGGTTCGGGTTGGAGTCGGGCTGGCAAGTGTTTGCTTTGTTCTTCCCCCATCGCATCTTCGTGCTCTGCTTCCTCAGAGCCAGAAACAGAGGGCTCCTGAGGAGGCTCGGAGCTCAAGTGGAGCCTGAAGGCTTGTTTCGTGACGCGCTTTTCTTTTCCCCCAAAACATTCTCTTTGGTTTGTTCTCGGAGAAAGCATCTCAGGCGGCCGGCGTGCAGGGGGTGGGTGGGCTGTGGGCGAGGCGTTGAAGAGGGGCTCCCAGATCTAAGTGCAGACAGATGATTCCCACAGGAATTTTAGCATCGGGAAGTTAGATGGAGAGGCCTTTTTTTTTTTTAGCTGCTCCCGGGCAGGTTGGTGTGCGCAGGGGATGGTGGATAGCCGGAGGCGGCTCTTCAGAGCCCCGCTGCGGTGCCCGGTGCTTGCTTCGGGGGCTGCGGCGGACCTCGGCGGCGGGCAAGGGCAGGGCCTGGGGCTGCCGAGCAGGATCGGGAGGCAGCCTGCCTGTGGAACTGCGGACTTAGCAGCAGGTCGTCTTGTGATTATATGTTTGCCACTGCTTTTTGCTAGGAAGGGTGGGGTGCCAGTGAGCTACTGTTCAATTGAAAAGCACTTATGGGGCAAACCGGGATTCAAGAGAGGTTCAAGAAATGACCTAGTAGCCTAAATAACACAATTCTCTTCTTTTTGGGAGGTTTTCTAGCGGCATACGTGTTTTAAAGCTGCTAGAATAATTGAGTAATTCAGCACCTGGGGCTGGTGGATGATTCCTTGTGATTTGGCAGGCATGGGCGAGTGGGGAGGGATGCTTGGCAAAGCTGGGAGCGGCCATATGAAATTTTGTTCTATTTCTGGGATCCTCTTGGGTCAGTTCTCTGCTGGGCGACTGGAACATTCAGTAAAGCCTTTCGGTAAAGGGAGGGGGGACTGGCCTTGGAGATCCTGTGGGAGGGGCAACTAACCTTGTCTTTTCTATTCTTTCCTCTCTCTTGCCAAGCTTTAACCTGTCAGTTTTCCACCCCTCAGTCAGCCCTGTCCTCTGGGTCTGCCCACTGCCCTGTTCACCTGACTCACCTCGTGCCTGCATCTCTTTTGTGTGCTTTCCCCCTGCTCTTGGACTTGGCACTTGACATCATTTTAACTGTTTGTCCCACTACCTTGCAGACATACTCAGAAATTTACCATTGGGTCCATGCCCTACAGGGCGAGATCCTACATATGCCCTTAAGTTCTGTATTTTGGGGAAACTAATGTATGATTTCTGGCACATAATGCACGTATGTTAAGTAAACATAATGCAGTGCTGGAGATTCAAGGGCGAGCAGTCAGACATGGTCTCTGCTTTCATAAGCTTACGATCTGATGGGGGAGGTGGACTCCAGCCAGAGCCAGTAAACGTGTGGTGGTGGTCCATGCCAAAAGGGAAAGGATGTGGTGCTAAAGTTATTACGACAGGGGGCCTGACCTTGACCGAGAAGTCAGTGAAGGTTTCCCCCAATAAGCAACATAGGGAATCAGATCCGAGAGAAACAGAGCAGTAAGCCAGGTGAAATGGGAGGCAGGCTTATCCTGTGCAGGGCTATGCAGCCCTTGTTCAGGATGTCGGTCATTATCTTGGAAGAAGTGAGAAGCCATTCAAAGATATTAAACTGCAGATCATATGGTGAGATTTGCATTTTTGAAGATCCATTGATTGTGTTGGAGAATGGACCAGAGAGGGTGGGAGGAAGGCCAGGAGCTAGGGTGGTCATCCAGGGGTGAGGTTTCAGGAACTGGGTAGAGAGACAGGACTTTGGAAAGAGAGGCATTTGGGAGGTGAAATTGCACGGCTTGGTGAAGCGTGGACTATGGGGAGAGAGTGTGCCAAGTTTCTGGCTTGCTGAGGGGGGTGGAGGGCAGGACCATGCACCGAGACAGGAAGCACCAGACAAGAACCAGACTGGAGACAAGGGACATGAGTAGGGGACTGTGGGGTGCTTGTGGAACAGTCCAGGTAAAAATGTCAGATGAGAAGCTAGGTCTGAGGGTCAGGAGCTGAGAGGAGCCACCTGCACTAGAGGGAGAAATTGGAGTGCATCCACCCTAGGAAGTAACTGAAGGCACAGGCGGGGGGGGATCCCCTGTGACTATAGGGAAGAAGGGAAGCGGGAGGCAGTCCTGCGAGGCTCCCACCTCCTGTTACCATGTCATCATTGAGGGCCTTATGGGAGAGGGGCCTTCTGCAGAGCTCTCCTTTCCTTCCTGGCTAACATTTGCCTTTTAAAGGTGATTTTTCTGGAAGCTTAAGTTATTGAATGTAGAAAACCGATTCTGGTGATACAAATTTCAGGCTGGTGGAGTAGTCCCTTGAACAGCTGTGAGCGAAGGTCTATCTCAAGGATTAACTACGTACATCACACGTGCAGCAACCCCCCAGGGTTTCTGTTATATTCCTAGCCTGGGGGTTTGATCCTCTGGTAGCCCTTGTGTTTTTGACAGAAGACTCGCCCGAGGTGACTCCCAGGAGAGCTGGGATCTGAACACAGGGAGCTTGACTCCTCAGTTCACTCTTCCATGGGGTCAGTGCAGCCTGCGCTTAGTCCTCGTGGTGTGTGAGCCAGCTGGCTGGGACCACGCCAGAAAGGAGGGGACTTCAGCGGTGTCCCGTGCACCAGTTCTAATCCCTTGTAGTCATGAGGGCATGGCTGGTTTGTGTCAACTAGGAAACTGGGATTTTTGAAAGGTGGCGTGCCTTCCACTAAAATCAAAGTGACTGGATAGTTGCCACATTCTTTTGAAATTTGACCCACATTGGTTCTAAGCTTGTAGGAGGTAGCCAGCGAGCTCACCTCAGCAATTCCTGGTTATTGATATTTCCACATTGTAGTCTGAACAAGTTAAAAGAACATTGTCAATAGTATGTGCTCTTCCCTGGGAAAGAGATTTCTTTCCTTGCATGGTGTGTTTGTAATTTAAAAGTTTGGCTGCCCTGCTATCCTCCAGCTGCGGGAAAGTGAGAGAGATGGGGTGTAGTAGAAAAAAGTGTGCATGCGTGTGCTTTCTCTATATAATGAGGTAGGAACACAAAGGAGTAAGAAGGTAAAATAATATGATGCCTCAATAGCAAATTGGGTTCACACAAATAATGGAAATAAGTGAGGCTCTGGGGGTGTGTCTGATACAGTGGCAAGGGGACTATGCCACCGGAGAGAGCATTCCCATACAAAGTCATTCAGAAGTTGAGAACTGCTCTCCTGTTCCATGCCTATAAGCTGCACCCCCAACCTTTACCCTCTTCAACCCCTCGTAGCTTAATGGGCTACCTGAGAATGCAAGCCTGGCGGTTTTCTCCTCTGGGCAGAGTAGAACATGGATTCTTAGAATATGGCCTTTGGCTCAAAATCTATATACTACACTGAGCCTAATTCATTTCTGCATTGCCATTAAGGCAGATGGCTCAGGGCATGTGCATGGTGCTTGAGGGGAGGCCATGCCTTGTTTATAAGGAAGGAATGGGCAGAGCCACCCACTCCCCTGGTTTCATTCCCCACTGCGCCAGTGAGGGTCCTTGGGTTGTGAGTGACAGGAGTTGACCCTGTCTGGCTTGAACAGGAGGAGAAAGCATTAGAAAGCTCTGAATGACTCCCAGAACCAGAAGAACAGCTGAGGAACCATCTCAAACAGCAAAGCTGGGGCTGCTTCAGGGGCACCGGCAACGGGGAAAAGCGACAGGGCTCATACAGGGGCACGTGTGGCGCCAACCCCCTGGGGATGTTTGTCTCATCCTTGCAGTGTGTGTTTCAGACCCAGAGGCCCCTGAGAGGAGGGAGGTGCAACGCTTGGTGCTGTGCTTTGGCTGGGAAAGGACAGGACACACTCTGAAGCGTTGCTGACCCCGACTGCCCTCCTTGGAGGGGGCTCGTTCCTCACAGGAAGTTGAGGCGCTGTTAGGAAAATGAGTGTTGAGTGGCTGAAAAACAACACAGCCCACCACTATCTGCTAGTGACATCTTGTGGGCTGAAATCTAGTGACAGTCTTCCTTCGCTTCTGGAGGCCCTGGTGGCAACTTGAGCCTCATGGAAACTTGTTCAGCCCACTTGCTTCAGGGCAGACAGAGTGGGCAGTTGTCAGAAACAAGATTTTTTTTCCAGCTGTGTTGCTTGTTGATCATATGTATGGAAAGGACTCGAACAATCCTGGAAATGGGGAGAGATTTAGGTAGTTGGCTTCAGAGTGAATTTCGGCCCCCACTCCCCCCAATCCATTGAGAAGACCACGTAGGATGGGTAGGGAGTGTTGAAGGACAGGAAGGAGGGATGATGCTCGGAAGGGCCGGGCGGGTCTCTGGTTCCTGTCTCTGCCGGGTTAGTCTTCACACAGGCCCTCTTCTCGGATATGTCTTTGCATTTTGCGCTTTGAAAAATGATAACTTTTAGGGGCTTAAGTCAGAAAAGGAAGCCCTGAAAATCCAGGTGTCAGGAGGGCCGGGCAACCACCTGACAACATGGCATAACTGCAGCGTCTCTTGAATAAAAAATAATATCAAACAACAGAGTAGATGCAGATTTACCCCATCTGCTGAAGTCACGCAAAAATGATTTCATCACAGGCTGAGAAGGCATGGAAAAATCAGCTGCCTCCCGAGCAGATTTGTT